CTGCTTTAGGCGCCAAAAGGTCTGGAGCCCAGCTGCTTGGGGTGGGTTGAATTCTGTCAGCTACTTTTTGCCTAAATCCATCCAGAAATCAGGTGGGTGTTTTTGCCAGTAAGGTCTTAAGGAATCAATTTCCTAGGCATGCTGTGACTGAGTAGGACTCAAAGTACACAGCAGGAGACTCTCAGGAGTGCTTATGTGCTTATAGGTGTTTAACACTAGTAGGTCATGGACCTCTTCACCAGTATTCCAGTCCCCATATCGCTATTGTTTCACAGCTAAGAGCCCTAACCAGGCACCCTATTCCGATAAGAAATTTTGTGCTCCTGGTTACACCACGGCTCAGCTTTCAGAGGCTGAGCAGAGCACATTTTCTTTCCTTGCCCTGAAAGCCCTGAAGTTTCTCACAGCACTCCCTGTTCAAAGGTCTAGAACCAGCTTCCAGGGCAGTGCTCTTCAGCACTTGGTGAGTATTTGAAGTAGAGGGGGTGGCTCATCATCCAGGCATATTTTCACTGAGAAGATTAATTCAGGTGTCCATGCGACATGTGTTACTTAAACCCATAAGCGAACACTTTTTGGTCCTGTATTATTTTCACAATGAGATATTCAGATGTTTCCTTCTCTTAGGCATCTCGCCACCAGGTGTACTAGCTAAGGGCATTTCAAGTCCTCAGGTTCCTAACTATTCCTCTCCAGTGTACAGGGAATTTAGGCATTTAACTCACTACAGAGCATTTCCCCTTAGAGAATTAAGTGCTAATCCTCAACTTCTTTGCTGCTAATCCCAAATCTCTTTGAGATTTGGCCCTGTTTTAGTGTTCAAAGTCCTCTATTACAGGACTTCCCTCTAGTTAACTGTTAATTTGCGTCTCCCATTTGGGCATGACCTTTCATATGTTTGCAGTTCCCTGAACTACAGTAAACACTAATCAATATAGGGATGCTGTGAAAGCATGAGGTATGCCTGTGACAGGAGCTGAAACGTTTTTGTGGAGTTCATTTCCACAGTGGAAAAAGAAACCAAATACAAAAATGTTCTACTCACTGTGATCTTCCCATAGTAAATTCCTGGCACCCAAAAGTAAACCAAACAAGCAAACAAAGAGAAACCATATTAAAAACAGGGTAAATTTTCTAGGGACTTTAAGAGTGGTAGATTCCCCTTACAATTGCCCAATGATGTGCTTGCCCACTGTCACAGGACAAGGAAGAGGCCATGTGGCTGCACAGACACCCTTCTCCATACTCAAACATACAAACAGCAGCCTGTACCCAGCCCTGTGATCTATCAAATAATCAGATTATTTCTTCCAATATTGAGCAGGAAGAAGAGAGGTGTTTATTATGTCCTCTTAAGGAAAAAGTTCAGATACTCAATAAAAAGGACCTTATGTAGTAAGTTGAGTAGATACTAATTTATTCTACTGTCCATTTAAAGTTCAGTCTCACAATAATAGATGGACAGCATATGTGATAATGATAAATACATATGACACTGCAACAAGACTTAAAGCTTGTTTTTTTGTTCCCTGGCATTTGGAAAGTAGCGTCAACATGAAGCTTACTAAAATCATAAGAGGAAGGGCTGAGCTTTCATGACTGATTATACTTAGCACAGCACTTGTATTTGAATTCTTCACCTACATGCGCATCCTGTTCCTTCAGAAATATTTCCTCACATGCTGTTATTTATATTTTTAAAGGCTTTATAACATTTTCTTTTCATTCTCTAAAATGTTTTTTCCTTTTCCTGAACGGCAGTTGTGTTTAATGCTTCATGCAGTCAGTGACACACCCTGTAGAATACAACACATGATCAAGTAAACACACCCTGCAGAGCAATGCGCTCACTTCAGTCCCCAACCCACCCTCACACGAATGCTACAAGCATATTTTGTGAATAAATGCACAAGGGTAAAATGTCATGGTGCATACTCTGCTGCACGACATCCCAAACAAAAAGCTACACTTCAGCTGGGAGCAAACACACCTCAGTAGCAGAAGAGGCATAAAATGAATAAGCACTGCACCTTCCTTAACAGTCACTGCACATTCCCAATTGATGAATGAAACCTAATGGACCTTAAACGATGACTGTATGTACCTAGCTTTGCCTTTAGCAAACAATGCTGCTCATGACCCAGCCACAGCATTTACAATACATTCCCAATGCAAGAGCAGTAGCACAAGCCAGGGGCTAACATAAAACTCAGCTGTGTGTGAGGAATCAAAAATAAAACAAAATATGAACTCATACATGAGTGTTACAGGATGTTATATTACCCCAAAACACACTGAACAGGTAAGGATCAAGGTTACGCTTTTCTGGGCAAGAGGAAATTTTGAGATTACAAAATAGAGATAATAAAAATTATCAAGGATTAATATAAACTCTATTAACATGAAGATAAAACTAAAGAGCAACATATTATCTATAAGTTAGGAACACCTAGGAAACCTGGAGACAAAACATTTTACCTGCATGAACAAATTTATGAAAGAAATATCCAGGAAGATGATTCAAATAAAGCACGTTTTGGCCACTTTTTTTTTTTTTTTTTTTTAATAGGAAAAAGGTACCAGTTTTGTTGCTGTGAGGCATTAGTTAGGAATCCAGATAGAGTCATCCATGATCTGATTTATCTGTAAGAAAGTGAACTGGAATGAGGAAAACACTCTTTTTTTTTGCAAGAATTATGAACACAGAATTAGGAATGAAGGGATTTATTTGCTAATTTTAGAGCTGAAGCTGATCTTATTTTGTAGTCTTAGGTGAGTCAATTCATCCCTCTGCTTCAGTTTCTTCATTGATAAGAGAGTTCTGAAAATATTTACTTACTCATTTCAGAGTAACAGTTTGGCTCAATTAATGTTCCTAATGCAATCTGAAGAGAAACAATAGATAGTTTTAGGGCTACTGTTGTCAGGAAAATGGTAGTTTATTGCTCACATGAAAAAGAGTTAACTTCTAAATCAGTTGTCAGTATCAGTTTACTCATTCCAGTCCTAATGATGTGACAACCACCTCGAATAAACCCTTTGCTTTTAGTTCTCATTCTAATACACACCATGATCTAAGCAGCCGCACCCAGCTGGACTGTGGACAAATTCCTGTTCTTATCTCAGGCTCACTAGAAGCCTTATGTAATTAAACAATATTGTGACGAGGGTCTTATCTCAGGGCATTAACTTCTTCTTCCCTTGGCAAGGATGTAAGTGAGCTGGACCCAATTGGAAAGCTGTCCTGGCGCTCCTCTGAGCACATTACTTTCTTCAGAGTTTGACCTTTTAGTTGCAAATAAAATCTTCAAAATGTGAGCTCTCACTTCATTGTGTTCTTGAGCCTCGAGCCTGAAAAACAAATGACTCTTCAAGGCCACCTCAAGATTTGTCTATGGTACAAGTGAAGTGCTTTTGTAACCACTTCAGCACTCTCTTGGCTTCTGAGAGAGTTGATGCCTGTGCCCAAGACAGTTAATAACAGCTAATGATACCAGGGCCTTGCCAGGAGCCTAGACGAACACTTGGTTGTGTAACTCTAACTTGATAGGCGGGTGTTTTGTTTTGGGTTTTTCCACTACAGATAGTACCCGCTGGCTATGCCGGTGTAATTGGCTTGACCTCATGAGAGATGAGAATTGTCTCATTAATTTCAGTGGGTTGTTCAGTTTTGGAGCACAATGCAGAGTACAGCAGGATTTTGTGGCTGATCAGTTAGCAATCTGCTGAATGTGCTTGCACAATGCGATTGGATAATTTAGATATCTGAGATCAAAAAAAAACAATTAAGTATTTTTATCTACTCCCTGGGGGCTCCTGAGGGATTGTGCACTGTTAACTCATCCTTGGGATTCCTCCAGTTTAGTTTTGAATATTTCCAGCCTGAATTATTCCCTCTTCCTTTGAAAGACTATGGCATTGATTAACAGCTCTGACACTTCGGTAGTTTTTTCTCTGCTTGTTTCAATCTGAATTTCTTTTTTATATCCAGGTATGGGCCTAGTTTCTGGGTGAAAGGAAAAAATTGAAAGATATGGATCTTTAAGTACAGAGATGATGACAGCAGGAAGAAGAGGAAGAAAGCTGCAGAAACAATTAGAAAAGCAGTATGCTGCACACAGCATAGACTGCTGCCCTTTCCCTCTTTCTCTTGCCCTGCTTTTAGGCTTAAAGGCAAGAGTAGTGGTATTTAGTTCCTGCACTGTAATCTAATGTATGTGAGTGACAGCACTTCTTAATGGTCACACTACCTGCAGCAGTCAGACAGGGACAGCAGCGGTCACGCTATCTGCAGCAAAACGTCCCTGACTGATGCTATTAGCTGGTGACATTATTAAGGGAAGGACCCTGCTGGTGTATGGAGCAGTGCGGGATTAGCCATGTGCATTGCATTAAACCTGGCAGGGATGCAGTCAAAAGCACTCAGGCAAAATGGGAAGACTGGGGAAATGTCTCGCCTAAAGAACAGGGAGCTTTTTCCTATTTTAGTTCCTTGGCCTCCAGTAAAACTGCAGAAGGATTTTCCAGAGCAAGTGAAAGAGCCATGATGGCACCAAAGGAGCTCATCCTCTACCAGGGAGGGGTGCATGTCTCAGTGGTGCAGGGCTGCTCCTCCACCCTTTATGGGCACTTTGAAGCAAGAGACTTTCCCCACTGTCACTGCGGCTCGACTCCACCTCCAGAGAGGAAAGACCTCGCTGCATTCACAAACATAAGCCGTTGCTATTGTGACGCTGAGAGTGCGAGAGACGCCCATCAAAACCTGAAACGCGGCTCCCACAGGAGCCCCCACGCTCCGGCCTGCGGGCCCGGGCAGTGCCGCTGAGGCCGCCCGTGTCTGCAGGCGGCTTGGGGCGGCCGCGGAGGCGCCG